GAATTAGACACAACATCCAAAAGCCAGAGTAAAGGGTAAAGAATGTGGGTCCGAATCTACTGCTCTCAGATTAGTGAGCCAGACTGTGGAATGAACCGGAAGTCAACTCGTGCAGACGACGACTCACCCGGTTTTATCCAGATGCTGTTTCTTGTCCTGGAGTTCTCTCTTCAGGCTCTCTACTTCAACCTTCAGCTCGATGTTCTGAAAAGCACAGAAATTGGTCATCACTAACTGCCACAGGCCCTCTATCCTGGAACTGGGTTCCCACTTGGGGCCTGCCTTGGTCCACAGGTCATCATCTCACCTCAGCTCACTTCATGGCCCTTGACTTAAATGTGGGTTTGGATGGATCGGTAACACAGTCAACCATGAACGAACCGTATGGCTTCAGGATTTCCCCGGAGCTCCTTACTCACCCTGCTAACCTGGTCATCACTGCCCTGGGTGATGGACACTGCCCAAGCCCCGCCACTCGCTAAAGCATTGGAGGACAGAACGCATATTAGAATAATTCTTAGTAATATAGGTCTTAGTAATGTAGACTTATACTGAGGTTATTGAGGTGAATCAGCAACAAGTCAGATCTGACAAGCAGAAAAAGGAAATAAAAACATCACAAGTGAAGTAAAGTATGAATAAAGACATGGAGAGATGTTATACATGAAGTGTCCAGTGCAGGGTAAGCGGCCTGAGAAATCAGAACAGAGGAGAATTTACACAGGTTTGTTAAAGTCACGCTAAGAAGACTGAGTAGTAATCAGTGGAAGACAAGAACCACCAAGAGGCTGTAGGCAAAATATTGCCACGATCAGGTCTGTGTTAAGGAAGGAATTTACGGCAGATGTGGAGACGATGGATAAGCCAGCAGATGACTGACCAGAAGAGGGATGGGGATATTCGGAGGCCAAAGAGGTAGAGAAAGACCCGAAAGATCTTTCAGAAGTAGAATCCATAGGGCTGGCTGATTTGTGAGAGATTTAGATTAGACCAGACAGAAGAGCAAAGCTGATACTGAGATATGTAGCATGTGGGTGGCAATGCATAGTGTTAACTGAACCAGGGAACAGAAAAGGAAGGGCGGGTTTGTAGGGGAACCTACGGAGGAGCTTATACATGTCTTAGTTCCCGGATGGACTTTATTCAGGCTTAGAGATGAGTGCACAGAGATGCGTTAGTTCCTTCTCTGATGAAATCCATAGCATAACATTAAACAGGGAGAATTTTATTAATACTATGATATGGGCTTCATCGTGTAGTGTGGCTGCTTTCCTTCTTAATGAAGGTAATAATGTCCACCCTCAGGAGACTTTAAATGAGATAACGTACATGACACACCTAGAAAACCTGGAATACTGCCTAGCACACAGCTGCTCAACAGTCCCTCTTCCCTCCCCCTTC